TATTCACAGGTGCCCACTCCCCACACCTCATCCCTTTCTCCACACTCTAGGTCCTAGGGCTCAGCCCAGTTCTGATGGCTCCGTGGAAAGAGCCCCAAGTCAGATGTGACTGTGCTGGGCTCAAATCCTGGCTCTGTCTCTAATTTCCTTGTGTCCTTGGCTGACTCACACCCCTTCTCAGATACATGAGCGTCCATGGTTCCTTCCAGCTGGGTCACTCTGGATTCTATCACATGGGTAGATGAGATACTCAGGCTTGCATGGGCCATCCTTGGCCCCTCACCTCTCACTGCATGAGTGGCTGCAGGTAGGACAGGAAACTCTTTCCAGGTGTCTGTAGACCCCTCACGGACTCTGAACTGACTAATAATACTGGTGAGAGTCACTAACAAAGCTTGGGTAGGAGCTGGGAGCACTTCAGGCTGCCTCAGTCTCCCCCTCCCATGCACACCCCTAGAGCCATTAGGAGGTGCTCTCACACTTCTGCTCCCCAAACTCCCAGGCCCATGTGTCCTTCTCTACCCGCCCCTCCACAATGGACCTGTGGTGATTTGAAAACATGTCCACATTTCAACTTTCCTTCCATCAAATGGTGGAATTGAATTTTGTTCCTGCCTTTGAATATGGTCAGCCTCAGTGACTTACTTCTGATGAATAAAATCTGGCAGAAGTAACAGTGTGTGATGTCCAAGTTGTTGTTGTTAAGTGTCATTGAGTCAGTTCTGACCCATAGTGACCCTGCATAGGATTTCCAATGAGCAGTGGCTGGTGACCTTGAACTGACAACTTTGCAGTCTAGCGCACTAACCCTCAGCGCCACACCAGGACTCCGTGATGTCCAAGGTTAGGTTAAAAATGATGGCTGATACAGTCTGACTTTCCCTCTCATAGAGCTTGCCCAGGGAACCCAGCCTCCACGCTGTGAGGAAGCCCAGGCCACCTGGAGAGGCCACATGCAGGTGTTCAGGCTGACAGCCCCAGCTAAGGTCCCAGCCCACAGCCAGCTGACAGCCAATGGCAGTCACCAGACCTGCAAGTGGGCAAGCTGCCAATGACTCCAGCCTCTAGGCTCCAGGCTGCTGGCCCCACTGAGCCCTGAGCAAATTGCTGATGTGTGAGCAAAACCAATGCTATGTCAATCCACTGTTTGGGGTGGTTTGGTCCACAGCAGTGGAACACATTCCAAGCCCTGGTAGCTAGTTTCTGCCCATAGATGGGGAGGTGTGTGGGTGTTGATAGGAGGTGGGGTGGGGGGTCTGCAGCCTGAGGCCTCAGGACTATTTGAGATCTCAGGATTCGGATCCTAACCAGGTCACTCAGCTGTGATAGCTATATCTGCAGAACTTCCCAGAGGGATCCCTGCTCCTCCCGTTGCCTTAGCTGGAGCCCAGGGTCTTGTGATGGTTAGAATAAGGCCTGTCTACATTTACATCTGATTGGTGTGCAGTAGGCCTACATCTACACGGTTCATATTTAAGTGGTTTCCAGATGTCTCTCTGGGGGAAGATACTAGCATTTTGGACTCTTTCATGGGGACAGGGGCACCAGACATCACCTGGTCTTCTCTGTTCAGGTGGGATCTGCTTGAACAGGTGCCAAGCCCACCACTTTCCCAGGTAGCTCTGGGATGACTAGAGGTGTTTACAAATTCCTGTTTGCAAAGTTCCATGTAAATCTATCACCCAGGGGGAGTATGGGATCTATATTTAGCTTACGTCTTACCTCTGGGAAAATCCAAACAAGTCAACTCCCCTTGCTCTCCAGTGAGACTCAGAACAGGTACCATGTCAGCCTCAGTCATCAGTGACCTTACCTGACCTTGGCCCTGACCATCCCACAGTCCTTTCCAGAACAGCAGGCCAGCGGTTTTCAAAGTTTCTTTTAGCAGTAGAACCTTGCTGTCAAATGAAATCTCACAAAGAACCCAACAAACACGAGATGACAGGGGAACCACCTTGAGTGAGAGGTTCCCCTACGCCACAGCCAGGGACCCCAGTGTGTAAACCACTATCCTGGTTTACTTTTCTCAAATGTGATTCTGGGGACAGAACCCAGCCTTCCTGACCTGTGGATTCTCTTCCCACCCTGGCTTTCCGTTCCAGCAGCAGAAGAAGTGTGGGCCTTTGAAGCAGCTGCATTACACAATTGTCTCTTACTAAACTGGAGGTCAGCTGAGACCTCCAGATCTTTATCAACATGACTGCCATTAAGTCACATCTTTCTTGGCCTATCCTAAGCCTTCACAGCTCACAGAGACTAAGGACGGTGGAGGGACAGAGATGTTTGGCCTGGGGTCCTGGCAGTGTGTGCTGTCACTCAGTTCCCCCACTTTAAAATCCAGAGACTAACCGTCCTTTCTCTTCCAGAATAAGACTCCCTGGTGGCACAATGGTCAAGCAATTGGCTGCTAATGGAAAGGTTGGCAGTTGTAATCCACCAGTGCCCCCCACCCCCGTGGGAAGGAAAAGATGACAGCCTTGAAAGAGGCAATTCTCTTCTGTCCTGTAGGCTGCTGTGTCTGGGAATTGACTGGACACTGGACCCTAGAGATGCCTACCTCACACTTGCAGAGTGCGGAGGAGTCAAGGTGACCATTACTATTCAGCTGAAGGGAGTGACTGGGGCTGCCCCACACTGTCCTTTAAGTAGGGGCACAGTGGTGGTCTGAAGGCAGACTCTGGAACCGGCTATCTGGATTCAAACTCTGATCCTGCCACTAAGGGGCTGTGTTTACCCCATTTCTCTTACTCTTTCCTCAGTTTCATCATCTCTGCATGAAGATGGTGGTGGTAGAGTACCTGCCTCAAAGGAACATTGTGAGCATTTAATGAGGCCACATGTGGAGAAGACTTAGTTTGGGACCTGGAAACCTGCGGGTATTATCCAAGGTCCCAGTTGAGGGTTGCTGGAATCTGGAGGAAGTTTGGTTTAGCTGAGAGATTCAAAATAGGAAACAGGTCTGAGCAATGTTGAGAGGTGGCAAATTTGAGGCAACAGTGTATGCTCTGGGGGAATACATTTTCTTCTCATTTTCAGTTTTCACATTTTCTCTTTGACCAATCTCAACTTCATTTCTGTGTGTCCAGGGAGGCCCACACTTGGCTTAGCTAAGCCTCTTCTCTGGGGAGAGGTGGTGGGGTGGTGGATGGTATACCCAAGATCCCTTCTGCTCCCTCGGGACTTCATCCAGCCAACCACAACACAAGGTTTACTTTGGCAACGGACTTTTATTCAGTCAAAATGAGTAGAGTGTGACAAACCCAAGTCAGGTCAGGTGGCCTCTTCCACCCCACACCTACCCTTCCCTAGGGCAGGGGGCTCAAGGATCAAGGGAAGTTGCAGCCGCAGGGGGGCATTGCCCTCAGTTTGGAGGTGCCCTCATCATTTGGGAGAAGGGGAGGGACAGGGACTGACTCGCCCTGCAGCCACACAGACAGGGCTCTGTCTTTAGAAAAACACTACATGTTCTACCTTCTCCACCTAATTAACTAACACTGGGGGTGGGGTGTCCCTAGAGGGGTTGGGGTCAGGAATTTTATCATCTAATCTCATATTTAAGGATACCCTTATCTTTTATCTTCTTTAAAAAAAAAAGTTTTCTTTCTGCTGTTTAAAAAAATGTTTCTGAGTGTAACCAAAAATAGGCATTTGTTTCCTTGGTTTTTCTTATATGTAGCTAAGTATTTAAAAGAACAACACAACAGAAAAGATAAACAAACAAACAAACAGAAAATCACAAGAACATAACCCTTAAACACACACCTCGTATAAAAATAGCTTCCAGTCACATCTTCGGACAATGCTTGTCTCTCTGTCCAGAGGGTGGGTCAAGTGGGACAGATGGCTGGGGAACTTCTGTCGGGGACAACCACACCCACCCACTACACACACACAACTGGCATACACACAGTACATTCCAGGGACCAGACCTGCTTGCCAGCCAGGGGCTCTGAGCCTAGGTAGGGCAGGAGCAGGCATGAGCGGCGGGACCGTCCACTTCCCCAAGGCCCAAGTGGGGAGACAGTTGTCGGGAGCAAGAATTGGAGCTGAGAGGGTCAACATGGGGTGGGCAGACAGACAGACAGAGCTCGGACAGCGTGCTAATAAGTGACTAGTTTGGGACAACAATTTATACTCTGAGGAACACATTTCCCTTCATTTTTGGCTTTTTCACATTTTCTCTTTGACCAATTTCCACCTTCTTTCTGTATGGCCCTGAGAGGCCCAGACTTGGTGATTCTGCAGTCTCCTGCCTGTTCCCTGGGAAGAGGCAGGTGGAGCTGCCAGCAGGAGCAGGAGGGGCCAGGAGAGAGCCCCCAGTGACACAACACAGGCCCCCAGCAGTGAGCCTTGAGGTAGAAATTTTGCTTTCACACCAGGAAATGGGGAAGGTGTTTTTGTTTGTAACTTCTGGAAAACAATGTGGAGAGGGAGCAAGGGTGCCCATAAAGGGGGCTTGAGGTAGGAGTGCATTTGGGGCTCTGGGGTGGAGGGGTGCTGAGGCTCTGGCCCCTCCCCCCCAAGGACATTCATTCCGGCTGAGGTAGGTGCTGAGAGCAAAAAGAGCAAAAATCCATCCTGAGCAAACAAGGTCTGTGGAGGGAGGGTGGCAGTGTCCGGGGCCCAGCCACTGCAGGGCACATTTTTGGAATCGAATTCACCTTCCTCTCTCTTCTCTCTCTCTCTCTTTTTTTCTTTTGATCTTAAAGTTGTGTTTTTTTTGTTTTGTTTTAAAGGAAAACATCAGTTCAGTTCCAAGTCATGTGGATATCAAGCAGGGGTGAGGGAAGCATGAGCTCCAGGGGAGGGGCTTCTTCCAGGATCCCTCTAGCTCCTGGGGGGTCCCTGCCAAGGCTGCCTTTAGTCTGGACAACCTGAGGCGCAGTCAGAAGAGATGCTGGGAGCCCTCCAGGGCCACCCAGAGCCCACATGACAGGAGAAACGGCGCCTTTGACCTGAGAATGGGGGGCTGTCCCCCTCCAGAGCCTCCCAGACACCCGCTAGTGTCCAGAGCGAGTTGACTGGGCAGCTGGTGCCACAGAAAGCCTGGCAGCCTATCCTTCACTGAGGAGGCCGGGGCCTGCATCCTGGGGGGGCAGGGCAGCCACTGGGCCTGCGCAGGGGGCCTCGGCCTCCAGTGTAGTCTCCTCCAGAAGGCTAAACTCCTGCAGTGGCAGCTTACAGAGCTGGGTCTCCTCACATGGGGCGGGGCCCATGGCCTCCTGCTGAGGGAAGGACCAAGTACAGGGGTGCCATTAGAACCCAGGGCCCCACAGGCCCTCCCAGCCTCTCCACCAGAGGGTCAGGCTTCAGATTCCAAGTCTACCCAGGGCTTAGGGTCTCTGAACTTTGCCTGACTCTGGTGCACAGAGAACAACCCGATGTACTTTTGGTGTCTGGAGAAGACCTGGGACTTGGCTGAGCCTCAGGACCCAGGCCTGGGACCATGATGAAGGGAGGGCAGGCAGGTAGGTAGTCGAGGTGGACATTTGCTCATGGTGGGGAACTCACCGTAGACCTGGGGTCTGGTTGTCCAGTCGCCCCAGCTGCAGGGAACAGTTGTTCCAGCTCCTTCATGTCCACACGTTTCTCATCTCGGCCCAGCTGGCCCCGCTCTCTCTGTCCCACCCCATTCAGAGCCAGGATGCCAGGGTCCCTCTGGCTTCGGGGGCCCTGAGGAGGGGAGAGCTGGTTTTCTACATCCTTACACAAGAGAACCCTGAGGGGCAAGTCAAGAGTTAGAGGAAGAGAGTGAGATCAAGAGGACAGAGACAAAGGATAGAAACCTCCTTCTATTGCTGTCCACCCACCCCAGCCTCCTCCCCCTGGCCCAAGACCCACCTGCCCCTCTGGCCGAATAGGAGGAAGAGGACACAGAAGATGATGCAGGTGACCCCAATGTGGATGCCGATGATGATGCCTGTGGTGGATGTCTGGTTGATGGCCTCCTCCTTCCGGCAGTCACACGGTGGGCTAAGGGCTGGGAGTGGTAGGTAGGGGCAGGTTGGGGCCACTGCTCTACTGGCCTGGGGGGCTCCTTCTCCCTTAGCTGCTCCCATCCCCAAGTCCACATACCCTCACTCACATACTTGACCCCAGCCCGACTGAGCACTGACTTTTTAACTGCGTACTAAGCACTGCTTTGAGCCAGATACACAGTCATTTTGTCCTCATCAAGGCCCAACTGAAGTAGGTGCTGGCATCCCTGTTTCATCCAGGAGAAAACCAGAGCTAAGAGAGGTTACAAAACTCCCAAGGCTGCACAAACTCCCGTCTGAGCCAGTATTCTCAGGCAGCATGGTCTCACCTGCCTGCCTTCCCTGGATCCTTTTGCTCCCTCCCACCTCAGGCCCTGGCCCACTTTCCTGAGTGCCAATCCCTAGCCCCATCCCCTGTCCCCATCCCTCACCTGTCCTCTCAGATGCTCCCCTCAAGGATACGAAGCGAATTGTGGCATTGCCGTCCCCATGCTGGTTGTAGGCGAGCAGTTTGACCTCATACACCACAGTGGGGTCTGGGGGCAAGGAGGACCGCTGAGTCACTGTCACTGTGCCCCCCAGGTGGCTCCGTCCTGGCAGGTGGTGGGCCCTGCACACTGCCCCCTGGCCCCCATGCACTGCACCCTACCCTCACCCCAAGCCCTGGGCTGTGGCAGGCTCACCGAGCTGGCTGAGGTTGTAGGAGGAGGCAGTTCCCGGCAGCAAGATGGGGCCGGTGAAAGACGCCTTGCTCACTGGGCGGTAAAACAGCTTGAAGCCACCGTCGTACTGGGCCAGGCGGGGCCAGGGCTCCCAGAGCAGCTGCAGGGAGGAGCTGCCAAGGACCCTCACCGACAATGGGGGTGGGGCAGGAGCTGTGGGCAGAGAAGGAGTCCAAGAGAAAAACTCTGCCTTCCTACCTTCCACCTGTGATCCACAAACCCAGGAGCCTGACAGCTCTCTTCGCTGACCCAGCACCTCCACTTATTCAAACAGCATTTTCACAGGACTAGAAAGAGACACCCCTTCCTCCAGGTAGACCCAGTCCCCCTGAACCAGTGTGCCTGTATCCTCCACACTCAGGCCTCACCTTCGCCCAGGGTACTGGCCAGGGTAGGAGCAGAGGCTGAGCTGGCCCCCCTTGGCGTGTAGGCCTTGATGTAGAAGCTGTAGGCCGTGGAGGGCTCCAAGTCGCTCACCAGGTGCTGTAACGTGCTCTTGCTGACAGCTTCCTGATACTCCAGTTCCAGGGGGTCTGGGGAGGTGAAGGTGGGGCGGGGTGGAAGAGGCATGAGGGAGTCTGACTGACATGGGGGAGTGGGGACAGCCACGGTGCAGGGCAAGGATGAGGAACTGAATCAGGGACAATTCACCCACCGGCAGCCTTCCTGATGTGCAGGACATAGCCAATTATCTCCTTGGTGTTGACCAGGGGCTCACTCCAGGACACGCGGACCTCTGTGGATGACACGGAGGCTGCCTGAACGTTGCGGGGAGGCCCGGGCAGCCCCTCGGCCCACAGCACGGTCAGCCGGGCACTGGCCTGGGAGGAGCCGGCACTGTTCTCAGCTATGCATTGGTAGATGGCCTCATCTTCAGGGCCGATTCCAGAGATGGTCAGGGTGCTGCAGGAGGAGGGAGAGTCTCAGAGGAACTCCAGAAGTTAGCCACATCTCCCCATTTGAAGAGTCCTGGTGTGGCACTGTGGGTTAATGCGCTGGACTGCAAAGTCAGTTTGAACCGCAAGGTTGGTGGTTCAAGTTCACCAGTGGCTCCTTGGAAACCCTATACAGCGTCACTATGGATTGGAGCCAATTTAACGAGGGCACTTAATGATGATAACGACAACAACCTCATTTGCAAGATGTGGAAAGTGAGCCCCTCCAGAAAAAATGGCTTGTCTGAGGTCTCCCAGCAAATGAATGACAGCCCTGAGACTCCCACTCAAGTCTCCGGATGTAACTGTCTCCTGGGGTCACTCATTCGAGGCGCCCTTCCCAGTGTCCTCCCCGCTCTCACCTGCAAACACATGTACCTGTTATTATTCTTGAGCCTGACGTGCCCTCCTGGGCCCAGCACCTGCCCATTCTTCAGCCATGTCACGTGAGGGGGTGGCTCACCCTGAGCTTGGCAGGTGAACATAGCCGTGGTCCCAGCTGGTCTCGAGATGGATTGGGGGTGCTGGACAAATTCTGCAGGGGCTGGGAGCGGGGCACATTGATAGAACGGGACAAAGATGGCTGTGAGTGAAAGAATGAAGAAAGGGGACCGAGGACAGAAGGGAGGTCCAAAATGGATGAGGTGGGATTGGGACACACGTACACCCCCTAGAGAATCCTCCACTGAGCCCAGGCTCCACACTCCACTTTCCTCCACCCAGGCAGACCCTAGAGAGAATTCCATTTTAATGACTATTTAAAAGACTGACATTTGTATCCGAAAGCAATCAAGCTGAGCTCCCTGTTCAGGAAATTGTTAAATAAATAAATGTGCTAATAGGTTTGGCTGCACCTCGAAGGCTGTAATGACGGGGAGATGGATGAGCCCTTCATACTGGTCCCCTCACCCTCACATTCAATTCCTCTCTCCACCAATCCCAAGCTTCAAGGCTCCATTAATACCCGAGAAATGAAATGCTCCATCACTTTCATTTGGACAGATTAACGGCACATGGAATGCTAAACAAACGGGCATTTAAATTCCTAATCCCCCCATCTCCGACCCCTGCCTCTGCTCTCAGAAAATCCCTGGAAACGAAAATCCAAACCCAGTTCCATGGGGCAGCAGAGCCCAGGGCTGGAGGGTGAAGGAGGCACCTGGTCAGTGGCCCCGCGGTGCATGGAGTGTGCGAGTGTGAAAATGACAAGCAGGCAGGTGTGAGTGTGAAAGTGTAACACGTGTGAATGAAAACAGCACCTGGGGGAGGGACACGTGTGGATGACACAGCTGAGACTATAAAGTGGAAAGGATTCTCAGCGGGAGTCGGGGGGGGATGGCAGTGGAGGGGTACCCAGGGACCAGAAGGACCAAGGATGTCCACCCATCCCCAACACACACCTTTCTGGGGAGAGAGCTGCCTTTGCTTGGCCTGGGGACCTGCGAGGGCTCGGGAAGAGGCTAGGATCGCGGCAAGGGGTAGAGTGAGTATGGGTAACAAGGGTACTGGGTTACTAATGAGACTTGGACTGGGGCTAGAGGAAGGAGCTGTGTGAAAGCCCCTTTTCTTCCTCTACTGGGGTGGGTGGTCTGTACCTTGTACCACCAGCCGGCCCTGCGCAGTCCTCCTCACCCGAGTTCCGGGCCTATTAGCCGCACAGACGTAAACACCTGAGTGCTGGACAGTCACATCTGAAATGATGAGGTTCCCAGTGCCCAGAACCTGGATGCCCTCCACCCCGATGGGGCGGCCATCTGAGAAGGAAGATCGGGGAGGATAAGAGCGAGTCAGCGAGATCCGAAGAACACCCCCAAACCTTCCAAGCTGGGCACTGTTGTACCAACCTCCTGGGGGTCCCCCGCATCACCCCACTGTAGAAGTGAGAAGAGCAGAGAAAACTCACCCTGGCAGCCATAGGCCCAGGCCCTAACCCTAGCACCGTCCCTGACTACTCCATGACATTCACACCCCTTCCACTCAGTTTTCCAGCATAACGTTGGATTACATCAACAATCTCATCCTGCTTTGTTGCTCTTGGAAAAAGTTCACGGTCAAAAACTCATCCCACTCCTGGGTTGTCAGAGTGCCTGTTAATAACAAGAAGGTCCCCAGGAAAAGAGATCTGGCTAACTTGTTAGAACACAAAACGATTCTTTCCCACCGGACAGATCTCACTTGGGTTAATGTTGGACCAGATGGTCCTCACAGTCTAGCGGCCACTCTTCCCACCCTCTCCCTGGAACCTTGGCCCTCCCCCCACCCCAGAATCAGATTAGCACAGTCCGAATACAAGGAGACAGCTCCCCATTCAAGGCCTGAAGTGGTGAAATCTACTCCATTATCCACTCAGCTGCTACAGAGGCGCACAGTCTCTGTGTGAATGGAGATCCCACCCCACCCCCACCAGAGTTTCCTTCCCGAAGTGACCTTTCCACTCAAACAATGTGGGCCCATCTGCACCCTCTCATTTCTCTCCTTCAGCTGCCTGGGGATGTAGGCTGGAGAGCTAGGAGGTCAGGGCAGAGACTGGGAACCCCGAGGAAGACTGAGATTTTGAGGGGCCAAGAGAACTGTCCAACTGGGGAGTATGGCCAGGTATGAAGGTCAGAGTGACTGAGAGAGGAGACAGACTCAGGGTGCTAAGAGCTGCGGAGGGGTTCTGGAGAGCCTGGGGCGCGTAGAGGTGGGGGGCAGTGTTGCCAGGCCTGGATGAGGTAACCCAGGGAGCTAAGCCATCCCTGAAGGGGGCGGGAGAATTCAGGGGCAGGCGGGCCTCCTGAGTCCTGCTGAGGAGTGCGGAAACTGACCCCTCCCCAGAGAGAGCAGACTCCCACAGAGAACAAACAGGATTCAAAGTCTCCCCAGAGCTGGGTGGGACCGGGTTGGGAGAGGCAGGGACTATGGGGTGAGGCTTACCCAGGCGGCTCCAGGATACAATGGGACGAGGGTTGCCCGTGGCGACACATTCAAGCACAGCAGTCTGGTGCACTGTTAGGGTGAGGTTCTCAGGCCCCACGAGGATGGCTGGCTCCTTGTAGGCCCCGGAACCTGAGCCTGGAGGGGTTTCCTCACTTCAGCTGGGGGCCTCGTCATCCCTCCCCACCCCTCACTGCACCCACAACCCAGGACATGTGAGAAAGAAACAACTGTCAGCCCAGAAACCAGGCCCACAGGGCAGAGAGGAGATGCTAGGAGACTATAGCTGCTCCTCACACCCACCCTCTTAGTTCCTGGCCCTTTGAGGCCTCAAACTGAGCTGTCCCATAGAGTTTCCAAGACCATCCTCCTTTCAGGAGGGTGACCTGAGAAGCACTGAGTGGTTTTTGGCTTTTGCTTGTTGTTAAGTGCAGTTCAGTCCATTCCAACTTGTTATGGCACTGCATAGGTTTTCCAAGAAGCAGTTAGTGGGTTTGAACCGCCGACCTTGTGGTTAGAAGTCCAGTGTTTATCCTACAGTGCCACACCAGGACTCTAACTTTTTGGTGGTGGTGGTGGTTGTTAAGTGCCATCAAGTCAGTTCTGACTCATAGCGATACTGTATAGGGTTTCCGAGGAGTGGCTGGTGGGTTTGAACCATTGATCTTGTGGTTCAAACTGACCTTGTGGCCCAGTACTTATCCTACAACACCCCAATATTTTACCGATTGTGCCAGCAGGGAATCTATTTTGCAGGTCTTCTACCAGTGGGGACCAGGCAGTGCTTTATTCTGTTGTACACAGGGTCACTATAAGTCGGAACCGACTCAAAAGCAGCAGTGGGGAAAACCCCAGCAATAAGCAGAGGGTGGCCGTCCTTGGGAAGAACTGATCCAGGACTGAGGCCTCAGATCCTAACTTCGAGGAACACAGACCTTGTGCCTCCTGCACTTGGCTGACAGGTTGCCAGAGGTCAGATTTGAGGATGGGGGTTAGTTAGGACAGTGGGGTATCTAGGGGTGAAAGTAGGTAGGACAAAGAACCCTCACCTGATACAGTGAGCCTGGCCCCGTGACTGACCCGGACACTGGCGATGTTGGAGGCCACACAGTGGAAGACACCACTGTCCTCAGCCCGAAGCCCTGTGATCTGCAGGACCCCCTTGGGCAGCAGCGTGTACCTATTGGGGGTGGGGAGCACAGACACTGACACTATCAGCCACAGGGACTGTGGGCATCTCTGACCCAGCCCAGGACCAGAGCCTGCCTCAAGTCACAGCCTCCACAACAGACACACCCTTCATTCCAGCCAACATTCTCACAGACACACCTAGCAGCAGGAGGTCTGGGCCCAGCAAACCTTGGGGCTCTGAGCTACAATTCCAGCAGACCAGTGCCTCAGGCTCCCATGGGCACCAGCTTTGGTTCGCCCCCACCTGTCTCATGTGACTCACCTCTCATTGTTCGTGTCAATGGGGACTCGGTTCTTCTCCCATGTGATCAGGGGTTTGGGAAGTCCATGAATTTGGCACTGGAAGCGGGCTACACCGCCCTCCTCCCCCACGGTGGCTTGGGGATGCACATGGAAGTCTGACATGGCTGGAGGAAGAAAGGAAGCATGTTGGATAGGTACCCTGCTGAACGAGGTAAAGATGATGGACAAGGGTGGGATGCAGTCGGGTCACTTATGAATGTCTTAGGGTGATAACTTGAGGAACACATGAGTGCTTATGCCCTAAGACACCTCCCCATGAAAGATGGTACAGGCTGGATGGGAGAACATCGAGAAAAGTCTGGATACATTCCTGGATGACTTATGTCTAAAGGAAATCTAGGGTTTCCAGAGGCTTTGCTGGGAGAATCAGCCCCTCCCAGCTGACCGGTGAAGTCCAGTTAGAGACCGCTCTAGCCCTAAGTATCAATCACTCCCCACCTTCTTGTCAGCTGGTTTCAAATTTGTATTTACCTTAAAGTCCCTGTAATTTACATAAGGCTCCAGGTTTTACAGAATTGGAAACTGAGACCCAGAGAGGGGAAGCCAATTAGTCAATGTCACCCAGGAGGGACACTGGTGGTCAGACCCTGGTTACCAGGGCCCAGGGGCTTTTGTGCCCTTCCTCACCACCTCCCAATCCTTCGCAGTTTTTTGATAGGCACCCCAGGAGGGGGGTGTAAGCACCAAGGTGACAAGCCTCTTAAGAAGACTGTCAGAGCTACCAATCTGCATTTCAATGTGTCATAAATATTCAGGGCCCCTCCCTGAATATTTGGAGATCTGATCTAACCACTTGAACTCTGATCCAGAGAGGCCTGTGCAGAGTGGCTCTGGTGGACACCCCCATATCCCTCCTCTGAGGTAGTTGAGTGTACCTGTGTACCCCCTTACTGACCATCCCCAAGCCCCACCTTGTCAGGCCTGGAGAAAAGGCCCCTCCCATGCTGGTTCCCAGCTTCAGTACTAAGGCTGCTATTTCATTAAAATCCACTTTGCTTCAAGTGCTGGAAGGCGGTTTACCATCTGTCCGGGCAGGCAGCCCCCTCCCCACAGGCACTCCATCAACTGGGACAGTTGCTCCCTCCCGGAAGGTGCCCTGCCCTGGATGGCAGCAGGGTTGCTGCAGTTGGTACTGGCTGTGGGCAAGCAGCCCACCTTTGGGTCCCCTACGCCCCATCTCAGGCCCCCTCAACCCTCCTGTATACTCTGTACTCCAGGGCCAACCACAGAGGCAGTGCCTTTGTGTCCTTCCACCCAGAGCTTCTGGGGGCCGCCTCCTTTGTGGCATGTTCTCCATCTCATTTGCATGTGGTTCATTAAATATAAACATGCATAAAAATCCCCCGCCCCGCCTCCTCTCCTTGAGGGCCTCCTGGGAGTGCAGAGGATGGTGTGTGTGTCTCTTTGTACATGTGTGGGGCTGTGTGTTTGCCGGGAAGACAGGCTGTCTCCGAGTATGTGGTCTGAGTGTCCCTCTCACGTTGTGATGGGGGTGGGATCTGTGTGATTCTGGTACTGTGTGCGTAATCAATCACATGTATCCCCTAATAGGTGTAGCTCTCATAAAGGGTGCCTGGGGTGGAGGCGGGGTGAGTGCCCAGCTGGTACCCCATCAGGCCTACTGTGAGGCTCCCTAGGGAGTCCATGAGGTCACCCTGCTTGTCTTAGGCCAAAGGCTGTGTTTGGCCAGGGACTGGGGATAGGATGAAGGTGGGGGAGAAGGGGCTGAGGGGCTGCTGGGACCACTCTCCTGTCTCCAGGCCTCAACCTTGAGAAGGGTGGCACTGGACAGGAGTATGAGGATGGGAAAAGGCTCCTTGGTGGGCAGGCAGGCTGTGCCCCCGGGCTCTGCCCGTTCGGGAGCTGCCTGTCCCCTCCTTACTCCAGCTGGAGAGGAGCTTGCAGGCCCCGAGGGACCCAGGGCGGGGACTAATGGCTCTGCTGACTACAGATGCCTCCTCATTAAGGACCTGACTCCTTTTGTGTATCTAGCCCCCATTCTGGACTCCCTGGAGGCCTACAACTAGGAACTGGCCTGGGGAAAGCTACAAAGGAGAAGGCTGCTTCTTATCAGGGTGCTGGGGATGGAGACAGATTGGCCTCCCCTGTCCAACCCTGTTCAGCACCCCTCAAAACTAAACAACAACAAAAACATGGGGTGAACGTGCTGCCACTGAGGAGCCAGCTGGAAGCGGTTGTAGAATGAAAAGCGGGTGATAGTCTTCACAATGTACACGGTGGACAATCTTAAGGGTGCTGCTAAGCCCCCTCTACCCTCCACCATCAGAGCAGCACCTCTGGGCACCTCTTTATCAGCTTTGCTTCACTGCAGTTCTGCTGAACACTTCATTTAAAGGATAGCTTTTGCTGCCTTTAAAAGTGCTTGAAGACAACTAATGTAAAACTGATCCCTTCTTTTAAAAACTGAGGCCTGGGTCCAGCTGGGATCTCTGCTGACCCCAAATCAGGCATTTCTGAGCCATCTGCATGTCTCAGGAAGGTCTCTTTTCACAGGACAGGAGTTGGGGCAATGTTACAAGTTGCAATGGGGAACATCAAGAGTCCCAGAGCTGAGGAATCTCTCTGGTTCCCTGATCCTTTTTCCCTCAGAATTCAGCAGACTATACAGGTGTGGTCTAAGAGGGGGGCGGGCAGTAGGAGGGTGAGGCTCTCTGCACTTCAGGCTCCTTCTCCCATAGCCTTCCTCACACCCCCACCCAACGCTTTGGCCGGCTCTACATGTCACCAGGGAAGTCCTGTAGGGTTTGGAAGTACCAGTCTTCTCATCCATAAAATGAAGGGAGGGGTAGCTGTTCTTCAGGGCCTCCCCACTCTGACTCCCAAACCCCTTTCTAGACAGAGCCTTGTCTGGATACACAATCTGTGACTGAAGATAGCTGAGTCTCCCAGGCTAGCCCACTCACTCCTGGTTCATAGGCCACAGTATTTTTCCTTCAGGACATCAGGGGAGAAAGAACCTGGGGCCCATTTAGGTCCTTTCCAAATCTCTCAGGGCTGGACATGTTTGGTTCACATGTCTGTCCTTAGCTTGGACATGTCTGTCCTTAGCTTGGGCTAGTAGGTCCCACAGTGGGGTAGGAGGGAGGGCTGCCCTGATTTGTGTGTCTTTGGGGAGAGGGTCCCTGGACAGCATGGGTACTGTGGGGCTGGGAGGTGTGTGGGGGCCTGTGAGCACCCCAGGTCCTGCTCAAGTCAGCATTCATTCTGGAGGCCTATGTGGTTGATGGCAGCAGAGACGGGTGTTGCTGTAGCTGCTGACACTGTTGTGGCTGATGGTACAAGGGCTGGTGTCTGTCCTAGCTTTATGTTCCTGTTGACACCTGTTGGCCTTTGGGGGCAGTTTGGGGCTCTCACTTCAAACAGAGTGATGGAAGTGGTGGGGGGAGGGATGAGGAGTGGCTGGGAGGCCCTCCAGGTATGAGGGCCAGAAAGAGAAGCAGGAAGGACAAAGACCTGCTTAGGGGCAGTTCTGGAGAAGGGAAGAAGAAAGTACCTTTGTTCCCAAGTAGTCTGGGAAGGAGTCTCCCAACACCTCCCTTTCCCCACCCTGGGAGCAGCCCTGCTGTGGTGAGAGACTTACAGACAGGGAGCCCCACATCCACAGGCAGGAAATGGCTCTGGGACACCCCTATAAATCATCCCGAGGGGAGAGGGCTCCTGAGAGCCAGACCCAGGGCAGGGAGGGGAAGGAAGGGGGGCTTTCCTCCAGGTTCAGGACCTCTAGTGAGGTCAGGCCTGGATGTGATTAGACAGGCTCCAGAGGGATGCAGGGGTGCGGCAAAGTCAGAGTGCTAGGAAGGAAGCTGCCAGAGCCCCCTACCCTCCCTACCCTCATCAAAGTCCAGGCTACAACCTTCCCCTTTTGGCTAGAGCCAGACACCTATCCGGTGTGCGATGGCAACAAGGTCCTTGGACATGTCTGGATGGACAGCTCTAAACACAGCCTTTGCAGAAGCCGGTGGCACTGAGCGTCTGAAGCACGAACGATCTCCACCTCACAGAGCCACTTGAGAGGGACAACCACAGAACCACTGAATTCCAAAGGCCATCTGAGGCCAGTCCCCTCCTCATATCCTCCCTGACACACACAGCCTCCGGGATGGCCAGCCCTTCCTTGGGTAACTCAGATGATTGTAACAGTCTTCCATTAGCTTCTGTCACTCATCCTAACTCTTTTCTCTAGAACCACAATGCTTAATATAGCTGACACATTTGAGCACTTTACATGTGATTGTTGTTGTTAGGTGCTGTAGGGTCACTTCCGGCTCATAGTGACCTTATGCACAGCAGAAGGAAATGCTGCCCTGTCCTAGGCCACCCTCACAATCCTCACATTTGAACGCATTACTGCTGCCACTGTGCCAATCTGACCCTCCACTTTACTAAGCATAATGTCTTTCTCCAGGGACTGGTCCTTCCTGATAATATGTCCAAAGTATGAGAGAGAAAGTCTCGCTATCTTGGCTTCTAAAGAGCATTCTGACTGTACTTCTTTCAACATAGTCTTGCTTGTTCTTTTGACAGTTCATGGCACTTTCAATATTCTTCTCTAACACCATAAGTCAAATGTATCAATTCTTCTACGATCTTCCTTATTCATTGTCCAACTTTCCCATGCATGTGATTTTACTGAAAATACCATGGTTTGGGTCAGGTGCACCTTTGTCCTCAAACTGCTATCTTTGCTCTTGAACACTTTAAGGCGGTCTAGTGCAGCAGATGTGAGTCCTGGTGTGGTGCTGTGAGTTAATGCACTGGACTGCAAAGTCGGTTTGAACCACAAGGTAGGAAACTCAAGCTCACCAGTCGTTCCTTGGAAACCCTACACAGGGTCGCTATGGGTCGGAACCGATTTGACAGCACTTGACAAGAACAACAAGTGCAGCAGATTAGTGGCCAACTATTAAGCATGTGAGATGCTTGTCAAATCTTAAAGACTTGCTATTTTTAAAAAGATAGAACAGAGTTCATTGATAATTATAAAATAGTGACTCTAGGTTGAAATAACGTTTTCGATTTCAAAGACTAGATGACTATTAATAATTTAAAAATAATTATTATATGTAAAATTACTACGTGGCTC